CGAGCGTTGTGCCAGCGAATCGAACGTGGCACAGCGAATCGAACTTTGCGAATCGAACGTCACGTGACGGACGCTGTTTGAAAGTGGCGTAACTTTGCAGTGGACACTGTTTGAAAGTGGCGGGCTTCCTTTAAACGTTGGGTCCCGCCACTATTGAGTCGCTGGTACCTAGTTCGACTCGCTGGTACATCGTTCGACTCGCTGGCGCAAAGTTCGATCGCTGGTGCAACGTTCGATTCGCTGGCGCAAAGTTCGATTCGCTGGTGCAACGTTCGATTCGCTGGCGCAACGCTCGGATCTAGCGAATCGCTCGATTCGCAAACTATGACGCCTAGATCGCTTATTCTGAGACTGCCGTTATGTTTTGCGATTACGACAAGCGTTGCCGCGGGAAGCAGAGCATATGTGCGACTTCCATTCCATTCCAAATTCAGGTGAAGCTCGTGCTTGATCGATTGTATGAAAACCCGAAAATAAGTCGTGCAACTCACAACATGTATGCTTATCGCATCACCGAGATCCGAAATGGACGTGAAATACGGTACTGTTACCAATTTCGCCAAGAGGCTAAGTTCAGTTTTTTAAACAGCTCGAAATCACGCATTAGCCACAGGTATGGGTAAAGAGCAATATAAAGTTCTCAAGTTTAGTCTGAGTGATTCCATACTTAAGCCGAGGTTATAGAACAAGACCTTGCACTGAGAAAATTCAGTCGTAAAACGGACAGCAGAGTATTTTAACCCAGAAAGGACGAGACAGCAAGGTGCTTCCGCATATCTATGTATGGCATGGTTGCATTAGGCTTTCAACGCACATATCACACACATACTCACTCAAATATTTCTTTGGAAACCTGTCTTCTTGAAGCTTTCTTGATGCAGCTCTTTAGTTCGTGTTGTTGTGAATTCTTAAGCTTTATCTCTATTTGTTACTCTGTTATTTTTTTACGTTGTCTGTATTTGTTTTCACTCTTTTTATCAGAAATATGAACTTTCGGACTGAAGTAATAAGGTTTAGATTACAAAGATTTCTAGAGTGCACGATTGTTTCGACGATGGAGAAACTGGAGCGAGCTCTAAAATGCTAGAACTATTGGACAAAATGAATGCTACTAATGTTCTGGTACGTTGCCCTGAGTTAATTTGAATTTCATTTTCGTAACTCAGAGAACAACCTCTCAGGTTGTTGTGTCGCGCTGGTATGGAGGAATTCATCTTGGCCCAGATCGTTTTCGTCATATTAACAATCTCACACGTGAAAATAGTAACAATGCCGTACGAATGACTCCACGGGCATCAAAGCGGCGTAGTTCAACAATTTGGCTCCCCCACTTTCTTCACGATTTGGGGCGCGGCCGCGGCGAGCGCGGACGAGTCGATAGTGCCCGCGAACTGTGGTGGTGATGCGTTTTCAAATTTACCCACACAGTTCGCGGGCACTATCGACTCGGCCGCGCTCGCCGCGGCCGCGCCCCAAATCGTGAAGAAAGTGGGGGAGCCAAAGCAGTTGCGCGCTGAACTCCAAAACCTCAGTCATCGGAAGTGCGTCGAGTCTTTCGGCCCAGTTTCACCATTAATACTTCTAGAAGTAGGGGCACAAATATGGTGACAAGATTGAGCTCCAGCAGCGCAACTACGCAGCAATGAGCAAGCTCTTGGCTTAGTCATCAAATTCGTCATGGTTTTTTTGTAAGTAATTTTCTGTTGCCATGATCTTCGCTTGGCCAGTGTTCACTTCATCTAGAAAGGAGTGCTCCTCAGCCAGGAGATAAAATCTGGCTGATATCAGTGAGACGCCGTTTAACCTATCTTATTCAGATGAGTGTCTACCGGGGTACTGGTAATAGCGTGACATATGTCAGCGAATGTAAAGGATATAAAGCTTATACAGCATTAGCTGACTCGGGGAGGTCGGAAATTTCGCATTCCCTTTGTTTTCACAAACGTTGGAAGGAAGAACCAGACGGCCTACTCAGTAATTAATTGATGTCTGTAGATCGTCTGATAGAAGTTATCAATTTCCATGGAGAACATGTCGAATAGCAATAGCTAACTATTGTTAATAAGGTTAAGCGCTTGCAAATTCGTTTCAACCTGTCTGGTTGAAATGGATCACAGCTAATTTGTCACCATATTTATGCCCGACGCTCAGGAATCCGCGATTCGATTTTTTTTTTATTTGTAACACTTTTTTTTACTGCTGATTCGGTTTTAATTGTCGTGATATTGAATTTTTGTGATTGTTTATTTTTATTTATTTCGTGATTTTTAACTTTTTGGTGCCAAACAATTTTGTGATTATTTGTGATAGCTCATGGTCATAGTTGCTCTTTCATAGCTACGAAATTGTTTTTTGGACGTTTGTTTGCGTATCGCATCACGTACTCATAAAAATAGCCCGTAGCAGTATTTTTGAGGATTGTAAATTTGGTAGAATGTTGTATCTTCGTGTTTTTGAAAAGACATTTCATGTCACTAAATAGGGTTTGGTCTGCTGGTTTTATCTCTTAGGGATTTGTCTTATCATTGGAACAAAATGAATCCAAATAAAGTTTCTCTTCTTCTACGCATTTCACTATTGTAGCTCATGATTTCACATTTTGAAAAAGGAAGCTATGCCGGAACGGTATAACATAACCCTTCATTGCTGGGCACTCAAATAATATATGTGCAATTATTTTTAGAGGACGAAAGGTGATGTAATGGCGCCGCTGATAAGTTGTGACCAAAAGATGCATAAGCTTACCAAAGACTCCATCGCTCCAGGTTCAATTAATAGCTACCAAACTTATCGGGAAAGGATAAAAAGACTAACATAACCCCGCACAGCTAGCGACCACAAGACCAATTTGCGTCCAAATACTTTACGACTCTGAGTGAAAGTCAAAGGCTCCCCCACTTTCTTCACGATTTGGGGCGCGGCCGCGGCAAACCCGCGGCGTTCGCGGCCGAGTAGTGCGGCATCAGCTTGCCTGAGTATTCGACGTTACATTACGTGTCGGATGAACTAACACGTAATGTAACGTCGAATACTCAGGCAAGCTGATGCCGCATACTCGGCCGGGTTTGCCGCGGCCGCGCCCCAAATCGTGAAGAAAGTGGGGGAGCCAAAGTCAAATGCGTGGCGCGTCTCTAGGCTGATCGGAGCCGCCTGGCTTGCTTGAAGTAAATTCTTTAACACTGGACAAAAACCTGGGGACGTCTGGGCAATGCGCCATCCTTCCTGGAAACCCGCATTTCGTAGGCGCAATTAGCATCTTTATTAGATGACGTTAGATTTACGAGAGGGATGAACTTCAGTCTTCAAAAACGGCGCTTACAATTTGAAGGGTGCCTGAGGCAGCAAAGGCAAAAAATTGCACAACAACTTGAAGGGTACCGAAGGCATCAAAGGCAGAGGTTTAAGGCTCCTTACGTAGGAGTGCTGCTCTTCTGGACACTCTACTAGTTGCGTTGTTTTCTCCGATGCTTAGGGTGCGAGAACCAAAAGGCTTTGCGTTTCCCCTGGCCTCGAACAACGAAAACGCGGGGTAAAGCTAGTTCTACTCTCGATTTAATCAAGTACTTTCATTAGTTTCATCCATATGTTTGCGTTTTCGCCAAGAATATTATAAAATTCTATTCGAAATGAAGAATACAACATAAAAGGATCCGAGAAGGCATGCAACAAAAGTGAAAAGCCTGGTCAAACTAGTCAAATATGTGGTACGTAAGTGATACCACTGTAAGAAATACAAAAGAATTTACGAGAGGAGACGAGATAAGATGGTGATTTACTCAACAAAATTAAGTCGAATCTGGGTCAAACAAAAGCGAAGCCTTCCGGCGATCCTGGTCAATTTTAAGTAAGCCTTTCGATTTATTAATATTTGGAAATTTGATATATCCAAGCGTTACCGTATAGAATTCAGAATAGATTTTCTTTACAATCGACTGGTAGCTCCCCATAACAACCAGCCGGGAATCCTCACCCATGATGGCACCAGTTCAGCAGTCTGTTTGTACCCGCTGTGAGATAATAAGTAGGAGAGGCTTCGTAGATTTGGTGGATCACGACCTAAAAAGCAAATTTCTAGCTGAGAGGATTGCGGAACAGCGCCACAATAGAACAACAAGAGCAAACAAACAGCAAATGAAAGTCATTTCATTTACCATCAATATCTCTGAATCCATACTCATTTCCCATATCCGCAGTGATTAAAATACGGCCTGTTTTCTCCATTCTTCTATCATCACAAGCTAAAGCTACAACAGCTTTTCCTGGATATTCGGTCGTTTCGCCCTCTTTGAACATCGAAACCCGCTGAAATATATTTTTTATATTTTATTAATATATTTTTTTCATTCACGATCTTCTCGAAAGGGATTGCGCCTAGTTACTGCATAAATTGAGACAGATTTTAAAACATCATAAGCATCAAACAAGGGCGGAAGTGGTGTAGTGGCAAGTGGCACGCTTACCACGCGAGCGGTCCGGGGATCAAATCCTGGGTCGTGAGTCGCCCGGGCCAACCAAGCCTTCCATCCCTCCGGGGTCGGTTAATTGGTACCAGACTTGTCTGGGAGGAAAAAAAAACACTGACTTGTACATCGGCCCCCGCAAGTCATTGTATAGGCCACATCGCATTCAAACCACTACGAATGTACAAATGGAAGTAGAATGCGTATTGCCGCATCAACAAAAGAGATGCAGCGGCAAATGCTTATCTTTTTCCGGCACTATTCAACTATTACGACCCCAAAAACTCAAAATTTTATTTTTCGTCGAAACTTCGCCTATAGGGGTAATTCGGTGCCCTGATCACGAAAATGAGGTTCATTTTTGGCGCTGGCGCCAATTTGGCGCCAAGGGTGTTTTCACCAAATTCGCTGTAAACTTGCACATAGGGGTTATTTGAGGTCCTGATCACGAATATGACCTTAGTTTTTTGGCGCTGGCGCCAAATTGGCGCCATTTGGCGCCAATTGGCGCCAAGGGTGTTTTCACCAAATTCGCTGTAAACTTGTGAATAGGGGTTATCGAGGCTCCTGATCACGAATATGACCTTAGTTTTGGCTCAATTTCTCTAGGTGACGCTCGAAATAGATGTCATCTAGGCGCTCATCCAGTAAGGGGGGCATCAAGTGGCTGCCCTCCCCCCTAGACTGCCTACACTCCCCCTGGCGCACAGGTTTCTCGAAGTACGGGACCCCGTGAGCCAGGGGGAGTGAAGCAGTCTAGGGGGTGGGGGTGAGGGCAGCCACTTGATGCCCCCCTTACTGGATGAGCGCCTAGATGACATCTATTTCGAGCGTCACCTAGAGAAATTGAGCCAAAACTAAGGTCATATTCGTGATCAGGAGCCTCGATAACCCCTATTCACAAGTTTACAGCGAATTTGGTGAAAACACCCTTGGCGCCAAATTGGCGCCAATTGGCGCCAAATGGCGCCAGCGCCAAAAATGAACTTTATTTTCGTGATCAGGACACCGAATTACCCCTATAGGCGAAGTTTCGACGAAAAATAAAATTTTGAGTTTTTGGGGTCGGAATAGTTGATATAGTGCCTTTTTCCTTCTAACCATCGAAAGTATAACATTCAGTGAAACATGTGCCCGACGTCTAGCTTTCTTTCAAAAACATATACATTAGAGGACGCGGTCTAATGTTTTTCACAATCTCATTTTACCTACAATCGAAACATTTTTTTAACCGAGAATTCACTTCCTTTTTCACTCAAATCGCACTACAACAAATATTGTGAAAGTGCTACCTCGTCTGGTGCCGTTGCTTGAGCTGGGTTAATGAGCAAGTTCGTTATCAATTCAGTTCGCACAGCACCGGGCCAAATTGATACAACACAAACGTTCTTGGACTGAAATTTAACATTTCTTTATAGAAACATTCAACCTCGATTCCAAGAATGAATAGAACGTCTTGGACGCTATTGAAATCTAAAAGACTCAAACTAGCCTTCAATTCCACAGCCATATCGGCCGACATTCTGTCCAGCGCTTGCTTTCCAACTCCATACGGAACATTGAATAAGTATCTATAAGTCAAAAGTCTATCATAAGTAGGAAGACATGACAGAAAATGGGGTAAAACTTTCTATTAATCACACAGAGGTACTTTTCGCAAGAATATGCTTCCCAGAATATCAGCCTATATGGTTGGTATCTTATAAGTATCGGAAGGACTATTATCCGACACAAGACGAGTGATTACTTTCCTATCAAATTCGAGATACAAGAAAAAAAAAGACTTCAAGAGAATGAAAACCCAAAGGATGACACCAAAATAAGTTAACTGTAAATAGGCTGACCTCAATCCACCAGCTGAACTGATGTTCACAATCAAACCGCTGCGGTTATTAGCCATCATTCGAGCAGCATACACTGAACAATAGTAGTGATTTCTGAAATTAAATGAGACGTCAACTGAACTGCGTTTGAAGAATGTAAGATAACAGACTTACAAAGAAGAAAACCTTGGAAAAGTAGGAAGTTTACAGAAATTCACTCACCTCAAACCCACGTTATTCACTTCATCCCACATCTCTGGAGGGCACTCGTAGAATGGCTTTTCTGCCGAGCCAATAATAGCCTAAATCTAACAAAGGTCAAGGAGAGAATAAAGCAGTGGTACTGTGATTGGCTAACAAAGGAGTGTGACTGAGAGTTTATTTCTGAGCAATGTAACCCGATCTGCGCTCTGTGACATAACCGCCAAGTGTCAAGTACCAACCCAATACGACTGAGAGTCACAAAATTCCACAACAGCTGTGATTTACGTAGTTCTAGAAGGCACTAGCAATAAGCTCAGTAAACTCGAGTTAATTCCTTGCAATAAACTCACCTTTACTGCAGAATAGGCGTTGTTTACAAGGATATCCAATTGCCCGTTATGGTCACGTTCAACTCTCTCGAAGAATGCCTTTACTTCGTCCATATTGGAATGGTCAACGAATGCTGCTATGCCTCTTCCACCTCGAGAAGTTATCTCTGGAAGTTATTAATTTGCAAAACGCATTCCTTCATAGAAAGACTAAGTTTATAGAAAAAGATCAGCTTCCCCTCAAGCTTGAACTAGACCCTTATCCATACGAACATTCATGATCAATGGAAAACAATGAACCAGAACCAACCGTTGGCAACCTGTTCCAATTTAGGAAGATGATCAAATACAGCTGCATCACTTTCAGACGGTTTCCTTCCAGTCACATAGACTGTAGCACCGGCTTCACCAAGCTGTAGAGCGATACCTCGACCTTAACGGAAAACTTATTTGAACTGTTTTTGATTGTTAACTGCTTTTGGCAGCAGTGCGCTCCGTGGAAGTTCCCAAGAATGCTGAGTTATAATACGAACCTTCGCCCAGCTTTAGTAAATAATTTCAGACAATAGGTTTTAATTTTTCCGTGGAATGTCCTGAGGCTGTAGGTATGCTTTCCCGGAAAGGAGAGGGACCTCTTCCTGGTAAGGTGTACTCTCGCCGTAACACTCGGAGAAAGGGCCATACACCCACCCGGTTCCTCGGATATTTCTCGATTGCCTGAGCTTTATCCCAGAGAGTTCAGGAGAGCATACCTTGCCGCCGGTAAGGATCCCACTCCTGTTCGGAAGCATAACTCACACGGTCCGTGTTTTTCCTACAGTAATCTGCTGGTCTTCAAATCTCCCAACTAATACAAATCCTTTCATTCTCGTCTACTATGCTAACTTCCGAAGTCGTGTGTCTAAAAGCACGGCTTTACCTCGATATAACCAGTAAGGTGGTACCGTAGGAGCCGGCATTTGAGATTTTCACGTCTAGCGAAATGATGAGGAACATAAGTAAACTCTTCCTAATTACCGGTGGAAGTAATCTTTAAAGATACAAAAGAAGAGTGATAGAAAACGTACCAATTCCTCGTGAGGCTCCAGTAACAATCGCAATTTGTCCGCCCAAAGCCATTTCTGAAATAACAGAGCTTTGAAACTCAAATCGAAACCAGGTCAGCTAGAATTGCTGCTAGTGCGTAGGGGAACGCGTGCACATGAATGCCATTCATGGCAAATCCTTATCTACAGCCGACGTCAAGAGAAAGGGGTGACAAAAGATTAACAGCTGGCATTCGCACGGGAGAATACAAGGTTTTAAGCGCTATTTCAAACAAAAATGGAAGATTGTTTTTTTTTATTTGTGAACTCCTTAACGCTTGGTGGGGTTTAATCTCACCACAAAAAAGGAAACGAAAAGAAACCAAGCAAAATTTTCTTCCGTGAATATGGTGTGAACATTATTAGGACCAGTTGGAGGAAGACTAAAAAATAAAATTAAGTAGACGAGCATAGTGCAATATAGCCACAAAATTACGTACTTTTTCCTGTAGAATCGTCTGGCTTTCGCTCAAAGCAGCAGCTTAGGAAAACGACGCATCCTTAACAGCTACGTAGTCCTCAAGGGGCACTCCAAAAACTGTGCTGTTAGCCTGCCATTACCGTAATCCGCGAACGGTGTGGGACCAAACCGAACAGGAACGGGACTGTTCGGCAAAATTGGACTAAGGAGTTCACCGAAGCGCTAATCCCTTCACCTTTGCAACGATTACGCTGCCGCAAAATTTTGCCTGAGGTCTTGTAGTGTTGCGCAATCATTGCGCCAAATGTACGAAAACAGCGCCGCGCCATCGCGTGCCTCCCCCTCCCCCGAACCCGAGTTTCACATACAAATATACTTACCGTTTTGGAAAATATTGGCGTTGAACAGAATTACATTCATTTGAAAATTAGTAGTCCGCCTCGGTCTATCCGCGCTGGGCCGAGGGGAAGATTGCGCGCGCCAATGCGAACGCAACGCTCCCGTGCTCAAATCGGACACTTCTGCTTT